TCTAAGAGTCAGGTAGATTGAAAAAAAAATTAAAAAAACCAAAAAAAACCAAAAAAAAACCCAAAAAAAAACCAGAGAAAAAAGAAGCAGTTGAAGCCAGACACCAGAAAAAGATACAGCCAAAAGCAGATAATGAGAGATATTTCACAAAAGGCAAAGGCACTGAGCTCATGGGAGAGATTTTGTAAGGTAACAGACTGTTGCAAAGAGAGACAGATGTGTGTGCATGTGTGCAAAGTAGGAGTTTTACACAGTGAACTTTGGAAAATTAAGAGATTGGCGGGTGATCAGTGCTCATGACATAGAACCTCAGTTAGCAAAGAGAAAGATGAATGAAGTCAATGTTCCTCTTTTTTCTCTGCTAGTTATTAGTGGTACAGCAGAGGGGAACTGAGAAGATGGATGGATGTTTGTCTGAAAATGGAAGATAGGTTTAATGGGATGAATTTGAAAGGGCTGACCTAGTAGGAGAACTTGAACTAAAGGCAGTGACCACTGAATCAGCATAGGAATAGAAGCCAGTTGGAGAAAGAGGGACAATAATAGCAGCAGGGTCAAAGAAATTGATGGATTGGAGGCTTAAAAAGAGCTGAAAGATAAAGTGGTGAGTGATTTGTGGAGGAATGACTTATGTGCATGCAGAGCAAGGATCAGCCTATTAAACTCAGTATCCGAGAAACTGAATCAAAACCAGGACTTAGTGAAAACTCACTAGAGGTCTGCTAAAGCTGAGACAGTAGCTGATGCTTTGACATGAAATAAATGACAAGGAAAAAGGGACAGTGACTGAGAAAACAGGCAGGAAGTTTCACCTTAAATCAGCAAAGCCTTGATGGCTTAGCTGAAGAATTACGGCAGATTTCTGTAACATCATTAGAGCTCTAATTCCTTTGGAAGCCAAGATGCAAACATTCCCCAGTACTCCTGCTATGAAATCTGTCCCCTTCAATATAAGGTCCTTTCTGAGTTCCTAAGCCGTGGACTCACAGCACTGGATTTTTGTTAATCAGAGGAGTGTGGTAGTGGAATATCACTGACATAAGCTGTGTTACAATCACTTCTGTTTTACAGAAACAAGGAGAGGATCTGGCCTCATTTTTAATAAATACGAAGAATGCATAATGCACATACTCAACTGCTGTAAAGCTCCAACATTTTCTCTTCCCCATTTCCTTATTGCCATAAGAAAGTTACTACCTAGTCCTATGGAACTTTGTTGAATATATTACTGTTAGTAGTTACATACACACTTGGAAGTTAGCATAAATATTAAATTAATATTTTTTCCCCAATGTTGAAGGAACTCTGCATAGTTTCTGCTATTCATTAAAAGAAATTACTATATCCAGCAACTAATACTCACTTTTTAACTGAAGGAAAATTGAATGAATGAATGACTGTGGTGTGAGTGGTTTGGTAGCTGAGGACAAAAAGGCTTCAGTTTGAAGAATCTAGTTAACTCTAAACAGAAGTCTCAGAATATACCTTTTTCCTCTGCCCTTCCCCCTCACCCCACCCCCCCAGAACTAATACATATCTTCATATAGATTTTGGTAAGACTCACAGTAATTGTCACTGTTGCTTAAAATGGGTAAATTTGAGTGTTGAATGAAAATATTTTCCTCTTCTTGAGTACACAATGACTTTTAGTTACCTGTATATGTTGTAAGTGTATTTAGTGGGTGTTAACTGAAAAACATTCAGCTGGTAGATAATTTTTGTGCTGTGAAAAACTCAGATATACCAAACTGCATGTTAATCAACACCATTTTGAATGAAGAAACTGGAAAACACCATCTCAGTTATATTTATTACATGAAAATAAAATGGTTACACATGTAAAAAAGTGTGAGCTATTTATTTAAAACATTAAAAGAAAAGAGCTCAAAGAATAACAGGAACTGGCCTTTACAATTCTCTTGATACTAGCCACTCCATTTTTTATCAAGACATTTATTGAGATCATATACCTATAAGCTGGATAGGACCAATTTTCCACTGAAAAATAGTGTATTGAAAAACGTGTAATCTTTGTTATATGTATGACACTTGCTGTCTTCTGATACTTTAAAGACCAAGATATGGCCCAAAAACTCACTCCTTCAGAAATGCTAAATGTAATTAATCCCAGTAATTAATTTGAAAACATTTGCTTAATAAAATTAACAGCTTTAGTCAGATCTACATGAAAAGTTATACAATTTTTCTATTTGAATAGCAGTAGTTTAACTTAAAAGTAATTAACTACTTATTAGAGAGATTTTAATTTTCCTTGAATATAGATTGTTCCAAGAAGCTATAACATATTCTGATGACTGATAACATGGTTCTATCACAACTGAAAAGTAACTAAATAGTTAATATTATGCTGATTGTGAATGGAAATTGGATTTTAAAGACCTTTATACAGTTGACAGATATATTTCAAATTTTCATAAGTCTAGCTAAAAAAGTTTTCTTTCTCTAATACTGTGCAGAAATCTGTGAGTACAGCTATGACCTTTTCTTCTGCTGAAATATAGTTACTGAACAATTGAAAATGATCAGATTTAATAATACTGTCTGATTCTCAGCTGCAGTTGATTGCTCTGGAAGAACAAGATTAAAAACTTGTAAGTGTGAAACCTAACTGCCTGAAAGTGAAAAGAGATGAACTCCTTACAAGGAAAATATGTGTAATGTAGTCAGTTTAACTGATCAATTAAAATATTTAAATGTGTGGCAGATTTATACCCTGTACCTAAAAATATACCCAAACTACATGAAAAGTCAAGCCATTTATCAAATTGCATATTTTCAGGGGCTCTATTCCTCTCCTGTACTTGTAACTACGATGTTAATTACCCAGTAAAGGCATGAGAGTTTTGTTCAAAATCTACACCCTGCAGAAATACTCCTTAGATTCTGAAACCATATCAGTATGGATGTAGTTCAAGTATTTTATGTTTCAGGCAAAACACTGAAAAATGTAAGAGCAAACCAAATTCAAAGTTGACAGAGCATATGGAAAAACTATAAATATTCACTTATTTTGGTCTTTTCTGCTTATTGTTAGGTTGCTCAATTTAAATAATGTGTATTTCAATTACCTACTTTTATTTTCATCCCTGTAAAAAGGTATGCCCATCAAACCTTGGGTATAGCCAGAAAATTATACATCTGCATTCAAAACTGCCTATCAGCCTATCCAAACTGGCCCACTCTCAATGCAGAAAGGAATTTTGCTGGTGTAGCGAGTGCTCCTTCTGAAAAATCTAATAGTTATAACAACATAGAAATTATTTCTAAATTTTAAATTTTAACTCAGGTATCTTTAAAAACCATAGTCCTCAAGATCAAAAGTATTCATTCATTGTAAAGCAAGTAATAAATCCCTAACTGGATTACTCACCTATTTCCACAAGAAAGCCTGCAGGAAGAAGTAAAGATATCACAGGAAACTTTTCTGCTAAGAGTATTCTGGCTTTTTGCCACTATAAGAGGACAGGACATTATTTTGGGTATAGGATTTGAATTCTGTTGGACAGGACATGGGCTTAAAAAATCTAGGTGACAGAAAGGGCTTCATGTCTATACAGATGATTCAAAGTAAGAGAGGAAAAGAGATGATGGAGAGGAGGAACATATGCACTTTCCTCCTAGTCTTACATCACATAAATTTTTGTTCTGCTGTCAGAACCTCACCTTCTTCTAATGAGGGAGAAAATCTTGGGGGGGAAATCATTAAGGAAGTAAAACAGTATCTTCCTAGATGGTGACACAAGGATAGACAGAAAAGTGATATATATTTTTCCCATCTATGGTTCTGTGTCTGTGACTCTTTGTAACGTGTAGCAACGTTCATTATGCAACATTTTTTATCCATAAAAAACATTATATGTAAATAACTAACTTACTTCCTTACATTGCTAGTCTCAAATGCATGACTAACTTGCATGAAGAATTCAAAAGCATCAAAGTCTCATTTGAGACAACATACAAATTATTTAAAAATCTGAAACTAACACCTTTAAAAACTAAGTGCCAAGGTATTCAGGAATAAATTTTCACTGACCTTTAACCTTCCATTACTTTTAAAAATTATAATATTATAATACTGGATGCCTAATCACTCAGATGTTTTGAAAACAGAAATTGTATAGGTCAGATTATTAATTTCTTAGATCTCAGTGTGAGTGCTTTGCTATAGGAACAAAATCATTGAAGGCTTCATGTATTTTTCACGGTTTGAATCCCAATGTGCTTTTAAAGTAAACTTGACTTTACTGCAAGTATTAAAACCTTAAATATTAAAATTTAAAATTTATTTAATAATTTTCATCAATTGTAGTTAAAAATTGCCCCATGTTTTAAAAAACTAACAAAAACTGTTTCTAGCATTCTGACTGTTTCTAGCATTCTGCTTTGATACTGTTCCTATTACATTATATTAATAGCATTTGTGAGAGGTAGCTGAAACATTTTTATTTTGCAGATTGTAAGTAAACTTTTCTTGCATTTTATTAAATATCTTTTCTCCATAAATAATCAAAAAGCTAAAAAAGTCGGTTAAATGCCTCAAAGCAGTGGCTCTAAATCTTCTTTCACATCTTTTACAATGTATTTTTAATTCCTCCTGGACAGACAATATTATAACTTTTGGAGTGTGGAGACAAGGTATGCAATGTTTTCTGGAGAGCATGAGACTAGCGGAGAATAGGAGACAAAGGGGAGATTCAGTTGGTAGGTAATGGTCAAGGCATGGAGAGGACTAATGGGACACAGGGACAAAGCAACACAGAAAGCTGGACAATAGGGAGCCAGATATCCCATTGCAAGACTCAGCAGGATAAAACTTACAGCTCACAGGACATAGCTTTCTTTTACTCTTGGCTTCACCACCTCGAAACTGCAAACCAATACACCAGTGTCCTGTTCTGCTCTCCTGCTGCTATGTCACCTGAGGGTCTTATCTACTCGCTTGGAGCACCTCTATCTCAGAGTAATACATGAAGTCTTACCTCAACAATATCTGAATTCGTTCGACTCTCATGTGGCTCATTGTACTCTGTATATTTCAGCAACACTTTGTCCATATCAGTGCTGGCATACTGGAACAGTTTGTTGGTGCTGTTGAAGATGATCAGAGCAATCTCACAGTCACACAGAACACTCAGCTCATAAGCCTTCTTCATTAACCCAAATTTCCTCTTTGTAAAGGTCACCTGGAAAAAAAGCAAAAAAAGTCCATCAAAACCCCACAAGTTACACTCTGTAGTCCTTCTCCTTTTTTTCTGAAATATAGTGTGTGACTGCAGTAGTCTTTGAGCTGAACATGTTCAGAAGACAAACACATAAATATAATTACAGTTACAAATAGAATATATATGTGTGTGTATGTGTGTTACATAAGGGAGGAAATATACCTAATTATCACTACACAAAACTTGAGGTACAGGTAAGGAGAATGAGACATTTTCATTCAGTGGTGCTATGAAGTGTTAATACTGCATCTCTCTCTCTAACTTCTAAATTCAGATACCCTTTAGACTGCATACATCTTTCCCATCAGTATTTAAAAACTGCATTTCTGATTAGCAGCTGTAAATAGTTTGAACATGTGCAGTCAATTCTTACTTTTGATAGCAATTGACTTTGATTTCAAACCTCTCAACTCCTGCTACATTTAAAGCAAAGAAATAATTTTATACAGAATTTAAGTAGTGTAAAAGATACATTGTTCATATAAACACGCTCAAAATAGTTTTGAAGAAATATCAAGTGTTAAAAATTCAAACATTCCTGTGAGAAATGAGAATTTTAAAGCATGAACAAAGAACAAACAAGAGCTGGTCAGCTGGTCAGACCTCTGAAAAAAGGTCTTTTCTAACCACATAGCAGATTTTATTTCATTTCAAGCTATATGCTTAGAAATATGAACTGGTATTTTTTTGTACAAGAGTTCATATTATACAGGAAAAAAATAGGGATGTGCTTCTAAATTCTCAGAATGCCAGTGAATGCCCAAACATCATGCAAAATCTAGGCAGTAGGAAAAATATAACTATTTTGTCCAAGACCATAGTTTCCAATGGGGGCTGTTTTGACAATGAAAGACCTGCAAATCAAACAATTTTTTCCCTCTTCTTTTCTCCACTAGCTTACAAGTTCCAGTAAGACATGCGACTTGAAATAAGAAACTGCCAAGAGCTGTTTAACTTAATTATATGGTTGAATTTATCTCTTTCTGTTTCTTCATATGGGCAATTTCCATTAAATCTATGTGATTCTTTACCCATATTTTATTCTCTAATAATTTTCAGCTACAAGGATTTTTAAGAAAAAAATACGGTTTTGCTAAGCGTATAATTAATCAAATTTAGCAAGCAGTCAAGGTACTTGATAGGTCAAGGACAGGCACACGACCAAGTTTATAGGTCTGCCAAATTCTGCACTTGTTGCTGCCATTACTTGTACATCCATAAGCAGTTGCACCTCTGCACTTTAATGCTGAGGCAAGAAGATTCGCCTGTACATGTTCATACGGTTGCTGTTTTATCTTGTCACACTCCCAGCGCAAGTTAATGCTAACTGCAACCCCAGACTACCTTAAAATCCCGGCATGTCAGGCCATGGAAAATGTGACTTTTAAGCATTGCTAATCCCTACTTGCTAGACCATCTTAGAAAGATGAGGCTCTGTGCCAATACTCTGAACACTTATTCTCCCAAATGTACACTGAATGTTATTCCTCTGACTGTAAATTTCAATCATTTCAGCCTCTGTCACTGTACTGCTAAAAGAAAGATGGATTGGCATTAAATACAATTATTCAAGCATTGTAAAAAACATACTTTCCAAAGCACTGGTCTCAAGTATGCATAATTAATAGTTAGTTTTTTCTAAATTTTTCTATCATGGCTTTTGATGTTTGGAACGAATAATGAGATAGGTAATAAAACTTCAATCAAATTCTAAAAAGAAACCAAACCACCAAACCCCAAACCCATTAAAAAAATATCTTGTCTGTAAAATACTCCTTTAAACTTTTCTCTGATTAGAGAAAATTGCAACGCAATTGTTGAAACATATATATATATGTATATATATGCTTGTTTTAGATATAACTAAACTTGCAGAAAATAAAATTTACTAATTCAACATATTTTTCTGCATCTAACATGGTCTTCAATCAACTTTTTGACCTCAGTGCTGTAGGTGGAATGTCACTGTACAATATGGTTATCTGTTGCACAGAAACCTCTGCATTTAGCATGTTATAGCTTTTCACCATCATAGTACACACCAGTACAAAAATATCCTTAAAGCCACTGTTTGTGTTTACTGTTAGGTGCTCCTAAACATTTTGAAAAACCACACAGCTCTGTTGCAGAGCAGATACTTATTTCACAATACTTATCATCAGAATGATGCTGGTTAGAGTTCTTTTTTTGGAAAGTGAAAACAAAATTAAAAAAGAGAAAAATAAATCAGCTGATCTTTCTTTTCTCTTTCTTTAATAAATAATCTTCATTGCTCTGAATTTGATTTGGTTTTAACTCCTTGATTTTTTCTAATATTTTCAAAATCTACCAGCTAACGCTTTCACTAACTGCTGATAAATGCATTTAAAACAATTGTATCTATTACTGTTTCTGTAGTGATGTGGAATACTAATTTTTAAATGTGCCATTCATAGTGGTTTATCTTTATATATATATATATATATATATATATATAAATTATTATGCTTTTACACCAGTTTATATTAGAGATGAACTTGTATTTTTGAATATATAGTGATAGGTCAGGTCAGTAACTTCAGAAGAGATTAAGAATACTCTTCAAGCCATTTGGATATATTCTTCTACGTGGCTACATAACAAAGATGAATATACCATATGCTAAAATATTTTTGTGAGCCATACAAGTAAAAAGTATGTTTATTACTTAAATTTTTTGGCTATGAATTTGTTCACCATTTGCTATGTTAAATATACACCCCCACAAAAAAAGTAACTAATAAATATTGTCTAAGTTAACAATATTCTAGTATTGCACAAGTTATCCTGAGTGGTAAAAATTAGCATAAATTATTTAAAATGTCTCTTCTGTTTAGTACAGTTGGAAGGCTGCGTGCAGCCTACACTTAAAAAGCTCTGATTACACTTGAACTGACTTAGTGCTAAGAATGAACAAGATACACACATCGGCATGAATACAAGCTGTAGCTACAGTACCAAAAAGTTCAAGTGTTTACATAGTCTAGTTATTATATATTGTGTTCAAAGTTCTGTCTTGATAGCATCATATAACAGTTGACAATGTTACTTTGTCATTTGACATAAAGAACACCAGTGACACTGAAAGAAAACACACATACAATGACACAATTCATCAACATATTTTAAAAAAGGCATCAAAAAAATGCCTACGTTTCAATATCTCTTTAATATTTAAGGTTTTTTCAGCAGCAAGAATCAAATCACTATGTGGTTCACAAATTTACTTCTCTTTAGAAGTATGGGCATTTTGGGAAGTCCTTCTCTTTTTGAGGTATAACATTTTCTAATAGTGTGAGAATCGGAAAAAATGAAAATGGAGCGGAGGGACAAAGTGGAACAAATAAAAGGCCAACATTCAGTGATCTTTAAAACCTTTTTAAGCCCACGTATATAAAGCACTGGGTTTTAAACAATGACACAATTTCTAAAAACTGGTATGAGGTGCTTTTATGCATAGTTTTATATGTATTGCAAAAGGAGGAGGGTGTGGAAAGTACCACGATTATTTCTGAAACCTACAAAAATACCTGAAGTCCATCCCTTTGTATTAGCTGAAAACCCACTAATCTACTACATTCGTCTTAGACCTATGGTTTTATTTATTTATTTATTTATTTATTCACTACTTATTTTAAATTTAATTGCCCTATTAACAGGGATGGTAGTACCAAGAAGTTTCTAAAGCTTGCAGCATTTTTGTATATGAAGAAACATTAATTCTGATGACTCGGTATGCTGTGAGCTAATCAAGATGCTGCTTGATAACAAAAAAACCATGGAGAACTAGCCAACTTTTAACTTCCTTGATATAAATCAAGCTTTTTATGCATTTTGGATGAAATTCTAACTAAAGGTGAAGCCCATGTGCTAAAGAAAAGGCACTGACAAAGAAGGAGTTCTAAAAGGATGTTTTTTCACTTCAACTCTGGCTCTTCAATTTCATGGAGACACCTCTCACATGGTTTAGTCTTTGCAATATCTGCAAGTGGAGCTGTAAACAGCCTGAAATCAAGAGTGTGTATCACACACTGTGATATGCTCCATTTAAAGGGAGCAGAGCAGACTTTCTTGTTTAATTGCTAGCAAGTTAAACTATATAAATTAGAAGGTAATGTTGCTTAGTTGCAAGTACAAATTCTCTTATTTGCTGAAATTTAAATATATCTTTGTGGGTGATACTGGCCACTGGTAATAGTCTTTATTTAACTAAACTTGTAACAACAATACTTTTGATAGATGTTAAGGTATCAGTGAAGAAACAGTCACCATGTGGTCTTTTTTTTTTTTTTTTTTTTTTTTTTTTAATGACAGTTTGTTTGGGATTAGTTTAGTTTAGGTTTAATTCAGGTCCTTCTAGTAATTTTTCTAAAATCTCACATACTATGAGAAGCTGAACGATAACATCACTCCATATTTGTCACTAACAGTCACAGCATATGTGCTAACATTTTATGTTTTCAAAGTAGCAGTCCTGTGATCTTTCAAGCAGTTCAGTCCAGAATGTCAAAGTATCAGTGCTCTCCTTACTTCTTCCTATTCTGAAGATATATAGCTGCTGACATAGGAAAATGAGAGAAACAGGGAATTGCACATAGTCCTTCCCATATACATTTCCTGCCATTAAATAAGTGAGAAACAGGGACCACTGATGGACAGAAATATCTGATAGTGGCACTATCCAATCAAAAAAAATATTGTTCTGTTTGTCCTTATTTATTCTCAAATGTTTAAATTTCTGATGTAGGGACTAGGGCAGACATGGTAGATAAAATGCATGTGACAAATACCAGGTACCACATGAGAAATCTACCTAAATTCAAACAGAAGCTATGTCTGTAAATAAAGTCATGTGCAATCAAAGAGGCTCTTCACTGAAATGTCATTGACAGGCACCCAAACCTGTCCTGCTGAAGCCCCAAGTAACTACTGGAGAGGCAACT